TATATAAATAAACGATGCTTTCCGTACCTGAGTAAATAGTAGAACTACTTTCTATATATATATATACCAACCCCTATATATATATATATATATATATGTATATATATATATTTACTAAAAAATATTGAATGGGGTAGGCAAGTGTGTTAGTCGGTTGATATGGGTGTGTTCGTATGCATGTCCCGCAGACACAAGCTCCGGGTTATGTGCATTTTAGTTCGGTACTTACTCGCATCTGTACAATCGCCCAAAGCGGTATGCGTGCAATATACATCACCTTCATACTTTCACACACCCGAATAGAGCTGTAAGGTATTGCGTTGCACATTTACTTAGGTAAACCCTAAACCCCTAAAACTCATACTACATATCCACAACAATCCTCCGTGAAACTACCACGCCCACGACGGGTGACACATAACCAACATGCACACAAATCTCAATCACTACGCCCTTCCCCATAACTAGTAGGTAGTCTACAGGCGGGTGTCTTAGTCTTAGTCGGTCAATGATACTTCTGCTGAACTGCTCTGGGTCGTTGTAGTACACATTAAAGTATGTATCTAAGCACACGTTAGCCATGGCCTACCTGCACACGAACCATCTCAATCTCTCACGTACGCACATGCTTGTCACACTCCACCAGGCGAGCTGATCAACTTCGTATTCGCCGAGTTGCAAGAAGACCAGAGTTTCTTCTCGGTTGTGTTTGACCCGTACATGGAGTATATCCCATTCATCACCAAGCAATATGTCTACGCCCTCCGCCCTGGAGTCGTTGCCATTCTCAACAATCCGGATGTGGTAAGTGACCTTTTGTGCGGTACAAAGCGATACTATATATATATAGTTAAATAGTTATATGTATATATATATATATATATATATTGTGATATATTGTATTATATTGTGATAAATTGTGATATATTTATATAGTGAGATAAGGAATTCCCGCTAGTTAGGAACACATCTTATAGTAATGAGTTGGTGAAAGAATAGTCTATATTTCTGGGCCCAAAAATATATAGTGATAATGTGTCAGTATAATAATTTGGTTCACGGAATTTGATACTGACATGTATCAAATATTTCTAGCCCTAAAGTTCGGTACTACGGCCCCTAGGCCGATCACAATATGTAAATTTGTATATATGATGTATGTATGTATATATATATATATATATATATATAAACTCTCATATTTATATTGTAACGTTCTTCCTTCTCCTGGCTCATTGAACATTCCTTCTCCACAGCCTGATTACGAGCAGTTTGAGATCTATTTCAAGCTCAAACGCATCGGAGACACTTATGACAAGAGGTCCCTCGCGTCTGTCCTCATTATGTACCTTGATCTAGTGGACAGGTGGATGAAAAAAGTCAGCGTATGTCGGTTCAAGTGTTATAAGTATTATGTCAATACCATCTATACTATCTGTACTGTCTGTGTATAAGTGTCATCTGATGTTATACCATGATCCGGTAGGCAAGAGGATGAAGTGAGTCAGTATAGGTTCATTCAAATAATGCATGCTTGCCGTTTGTGTTGGGTACAAGTGTGCACTCTGCTCATGCACTATTTTGTGGCGAGAGAGTGTAGTCTGCGGACACTTCTAGTGGGCAACATACCCTTGCATGCTCAGCATACTTTATTCTGTGCAATGATCCACCGTGCGAGTATAACTGCCTGTTCAGATTAAACTTAGGTTTTAATAGAGGTTTTAATAGAGGTTTTAATAGTTTCATAAACGGTTACATCCAGCATCAATTCTCTCTTCTCCCCAATTAGTCTCCGATTTATCTCTTAGTTTCTGCCACAGTATCACAACAGCCCGGGTGAAGTAGTCCTCTTTTCTTTGTGTCGGTTTTGTTGCACCCATATATCGTAGCTGTCCGATTTTTACCAACCGGGTGAGGGGCTTTTTTAAATGTCACAGGCTCAGACAAAGGACTGGACAGAGCGGGCTATCAAACAAGACCAGTTCACACCCGTACAAGAGGACAGCCTCCACTCGTCGTCGGTGCTGGACATGTTCTGCTACCTAACAGATGTAAGTAGCATATATATATTTGTGTGTGTGTGTGGTATCGTGTTGTCTGCATGTCATTTTGGTTTTGAACTGGCCATAGCTGATGTTCAACCCACCAGATCATTTGAATTCGATATTTATTTCTGTTCGTACAGAGGCATGATTGCGTTGGAACTATTTTACTCCGTTCTATTTATATGACTAGTTCACTTTTATACCAGAGTTACGAGTTCATTGAGAATCTGGAGTGGCCCGAGCCTCAGACGCGCATGTCGCTCTACGGATGGTACGGCAAACTGCTCTGCAACACCATTGAACTGTACTTCGATCAGATGTACAGCGTGTGTGAGAAGAACTTCATAGGTACGGCCGGCCAAAGCGCGGCGCTGAACAAACGAGTATGGGACCAGAGGTGTGTGTCGTATTATTATTAGATATATATATATACCCTATGGGATGCAGGTATCCCCCCCCCCCCTTTGCTAAGTGTGGGATCAGAGGTGTGTGTCGTATGGGCGCAAACTGTTAATTGGAGTCATCATTATCCGCCGTGTTTGTGTGTGTGTATTGTGTGTATGTGATCGTACTTGCACAGACCGAAAGCGTGTTGTAGATGTGTGTTGTCTTGGTACTTATGTACCACTGCTATCTTGCAGCGACAACATATGAATATTATATAAATGTATATATATATTTATATATATATATGTGTGTGTGTGTGTGTGTGTGTGTGTCTGGGTCTGGGTCTGGGTCTGTATCTGTGCGTGTGTGTCTGTGCATCTGTGCGTGTGTGTCTGTGCATCTGTGTGTGTGTGTGTGTGTATGTATGTATGTATGTATGTATCTATTTTTACAAAAAAACTCGAGTTAGATGACTGGAACTCGAAGCAAGATTGTTTTAAAGCAGAGCTCTCATACGCTCATCTATTGATTCCCATTGCCACGGTAAACCCCACATAGCTGAACAATTTATCACTCCCAATCACGTAGACTAGTAATAACTCTTGTCCCACTTCTTCATATGCAAATTAATGAATACCTATATTACAATATGTGCACAGATTCTTTACGATTGTAAATGATCTGGAGATGGTTATAGAGCACCACAAGAAGATGTACATCGGCATCCGCCACGACTACGAAACACATCTGAGTGTGAGCATGCCTAAGGCATCCCACTCGGAACTCGTGCACATTGCAGCCGAAAAGCTCTCTTTCTTTGGCGAGAGCTTCCGCAATTGCAGCGACGTTCGCGGGAAAATATTGGGCAGAATCCTCAGAACTGTACGTTGAGAATTGACTATGCATGTGGGTGTGGGTGTGTGTTTGTGTGGGTGTGTTCGTTCGCTTATATACTGTAACCGTATCCGGTAGGCCTATATCTTCTAGAATGAGGAAAGGTACATGCAATATGCATACCCGTAGTGATGCACATATTATATTCTCCGGTCTTACGCGACAGGCTATCATTTAGCATTCTCAACAATCGATTGGTATGTATGTTTAGAATATATGTGCACGTGCATGTGCTATACAACCCCGCGTATATTCTTTGGGGCATTGTTTAGGTGCATATCATGCGTCCTTACCCATCCGTCATCATATGTAGCCCTGTGACAACCGCGGGTACCACTCCAACAAACTCGGTAGGCGTAAGGGGGCCTTTTCGGGGTCTTTCGTATCCACACACCTAGACCCACTTGCCATTCTTAGACATTGCTCGTGATTTTCGACCTCTCGTGATCTATTTGTGGTCACACAACACCCATGTGACACTTTGTATAGCATGGTAGACGCCCAAAGAACAAAAACAACAAAATCCAAAACGAGTTAGAAGGTTTTGAATTATTTGTTCGGGATCGGCTGAACCCCATTTAGTCGCTCGTGGCATTTTTTTTCTTTTTTTTTCTTGAAATAGCTCGTACCTGCTTTCAATCCTGGAACCTTTGTTCGTATATATTCAATATATCAATGGCTTGACACATAAGAAGCCCACAGCCATCCGTTTAAGACTCCTTAGAACACTGTAGAACCCGCCCTGTGATATTCAGGACAGGACCGATAAAAATGGTCCGTCCTCTACCTACAAAGTGTGGATTCCCAACCAACTCAACAACTCACCTCTATGCGACCCTGTGTGTGTGTTGCGTGTGCCACTCCCCCACAGATGCAGTCGCAGGTCTGGAAGGGCGTGCTGTGCATGTTTGAGATTGAACTTCGCGAGTTCGGCGGACTCATCACGAGCACAACGGCCGTTGAGATGAACACGCAGGTGAGTTGGTGACTGGTTTGTGCGGTGGCAATTGCAAGGGCGCGTATTGCTTTGGGTAAGCACTGTTGCTGTGACATGTCTGTCGTTATAAGTGAATGGCGAGTGTTCGTGTGCATTGTGTCTCATTTTGTGTACGTACGTTTTGGCTTCAATTCGGATGCCACAGACTATGTTTTGAGTTTCAAATCTCGAAATTTTGGGGTATCTCCAACGAGGCTTCATTCCTGATCTTAATATCTGAACTACATCGCCTTTATTCTTACTTTTAATTCAAAGCTGGGAAAATCTGGCGATTTGGATACAGAAGTGGAAAACCTGCTTGCACCTACGATTAAGTTCTTAGATGCGCGCCTCTCTATCCTCGGCACCCACTGCCACCCCAGTGTCTTCCTGTCTGTCCTTAAGGTAAATACATGCATCTTCTAATGCATATATACGTATGTATCGAGTTTGTATATATTATTTATATTTGTATTTATATATATATGTATATATATATATACGTATATATATATATATATATATATATATATATATATATATATATATATATATATATATATATATATGTATGTATGTATGTATATATGTATGTATACATACATTCTGTATTTATCTTTTGGTAAATCAATCTCACGTCTTATAACCAAAAGTTCCTATGATTGCCTTTGATCTAGACTCTGTGGAGCATGATCCTCAAGAACATCACGACAGCGTGCTGCCCGCGCAACAAGAAGGTGGCCTGGTCACTAAGCACGCAGATGTCAATGAGGTGAGTTTGGCGCTGATATAGTCAAGTAGTAAGAGTGTTGGACAAAATTAGGAAACGGTAGGACGAGGTCATAGCTAGAACCAACCCCTCGATATCCCTTGATGATTGGGGAACAATCGGGACAGGGCAAGCCTAAAACCAAATTGTCATTCGTAGTAATTGGGGCTCAATTTGTGAACCCGGCATCCACGACTGGGTCCAGGTGTACATAGGCTGTGTACAGTTCGGGACTAGACTACATAGCCGGGTGTTGCTTGTACAAAAGCTTTGTCTCCAGCCGTGTAAGTTGTGTAGTGTCGCCTGATAGTGCACGTGCAGGACCGGTCCAATTAAATGGGGGCCGTCGATGTGGGGTTCTTTCAGCTGTTTAGTACATGTCGGCACCCACGCACGAGTGGGTGTGATAGAGTGTGTGAGCTACCCGTGTAGGTATAGGACTCTGTGTGTACACTGTCCCCCTGCTGATTGTAGGTGTGTGCGCGATTCCCAGTCATCAGGCGTGTATGAGTGTCGCTGATGCCTCTAGGTCCTTGCAGAGACCCAACAACGTATGTGCTGTGGGGTGGGTTGTAGGTACATATCACCCCAACCCAAAAGAGTACGTGAAAGGATACATACTATTACCGCACTGCGCATCATAGCTTAATTGACTACTACAGGCGATCTCCAGGCAGAGCTGAATGAAGGCCCTATACTTGTAGTTGAGATTGGTTTGCTTCTCCTAGAGCATCACTATGGAACGACTACTGTCTGTCTGTGTTTATTGCTCTGTCCGTTAGATGGGATATGTTCTGGGCTTAGGTATGATATGATTATACAGTAGACGATAACAGTGGAGAAAGGGGTGTGTGTACAGCATGGTTGACCACATGGGCAAGTGGCGTTTAGATCAATACCTACCGATTTAACGCAATGGCCAGGACACAATACATCTCAACCCATTCGACAGTGGTCGTTTGTCAAGGCGTATTCTCAGGCTTGACATGCTCTTGGTCTACGTTTTATTTTGTTTTAAACACCTGAACAGACGCTTCACTATAATCACGCACGGAATCCAAGTGCTCATGGACTTCTTCTTCGCGGACGGGGACGGGCTGCCAAAAGAGGAACTAAGGGTATGCTCAGATGCTTGGAACTCTACGCAATACACAGACATGTCCCTAAATATATGCCATGTCTAGTTATAAGTGTAGATATATATATATGTGTGTCTGTGTCTGTGTCTGTATCTGTGTCTGTATCTGTGTCTGTGTGCACATAAATGTATACAGATGTACATTCAGAATTAAGGGCACGTGTTCTGTTCTTGGCATGTCACAGCATGCATATGACGTCGTGAACGATAATAAATACGTTCTCCATGATACTTGGTAGTATTCGTCAGTGTCCGCTCAAGTTGTACTTGCATGCATACAATACATGCAGCGACAAGTATTGCAAGCCCAACCCATCACCTAAACTAGTAGGGTCTGCATTCTATTTACAGAACGAAGCGATGGTCGAGGCCAACGACACCATGGCCCGCTGCTGCGCGTCGACGCGGGAGCTGATCACCACATTCAACAACTCAGCGACCACCAAAGTGGAGAAGAACGATATCGAATGGGTACTGCACACCCGCACCAAAGACGATCTCGCGGTGCGCGTGACGCGGCAGTTAGAACGTGAGTTGAGTTGAGCTGAGTGGAGTGTGTTGAACCAACCCAGAAGCGTGTGCTTCGTTTCATTACAGCTGTGTGGAACACATCGTCGTGTATGTATGTAGCCATAGGTGGGGTGAGTTTAGATTGTATATATGAAACATCGGGATACGCGTGTTATCTTCCCCTGGTTGCACTCGTCCTGACGGCTGCCCATACCTGTGTACACACCACACCTACCAGGAAAACGGGCACAGGAGCAGGAGGCCATCCGCCGCAAAGCATCGGCCGAGAGAGAAGCGAAGCGCCGCTTGGAGCAGGCCAACAGATCACGTGGGACCTCAGATAGTAGTCAGTACAAAGTGGGTTCCACCGGTTCTAAAAATAGCTCGGAGAATGTCAGCAAGGAGCCGGCGGGAACACTGGCCACCGCCAGTGTACTAGCGAAGCGTGCGAGTGGGATGGACACGCACCATAATCTGGCATCGCATAGAAAGGAGCAGCAGCAACGGTCGACACTGGCCACCGGTATGGGCTACGTATCCTGTATCCTGACTATGTAGAGAGAGATTGTGTGTGTGTGTGTGTGCTTGTGTGTGTGTGTTAGCATGCAGGAGTGTGTATCAAACGTGTGTTGATGTATGTACCTTGGCGGCCGAATAGTGCTGAAGGGTCTGATTCCCAATATTCATTTAATTCGTGTTTCTTTACGCCCGAGTCATCACTGCATCTAGGCCTGCACTTCTATATTGAATACGATGTGTTCGCACCACTCTCAACCGACAGGTATTGCCAGTGGATTTGCACAGTTTCTGCAAGAGTTCAACGAAGCGATTCACAGCTCCAGCAGTGACGATGAAGAAGCAAAGCCACCTCCACGACAGGTGTGAATGCTATAGTTCATTTGTGTTTTTTAAAAGTTCATTTATGTTTATTTTGTGAATGTATGTACCCCAGAGTGACTAGTGTATTTCTCTATGATTTTCCATCTGCGCTCTAAAAACTGTATTTATATTTATGTATATATATATATATATATATATATATATATACATCTATTTATCTATACAATATTGTTGTTCATAGAAGTGTATATTTGAATATAATGTTGTATTTAAAAATCTAACTATCGATTTATGAGTGTGTGGTACAATTGCAAGTGTATATTTATCTCTTAATATAGTTACATGTGCATGCATCATTCAATAGGTACAAATTGTGCAAACCGTCAGTGTAATACCTTGCGTGTGATAGCATGACACGATCATGAGAATGGCACTGCATATATAAACTCAAGAAGCTATGCTGTTCCCGACTCTCACTTACTGGGGAACTGGTATCGCCCCTATAATATGAAACATTACAACATATCCATTCCGTAATTGTCCAGTCGTGCTACTCCATTGTCTTTTCAGCCGTGTGTGGTCATTAAACACGTATATGTATATCTATACCGCAATGAACCCTATGACTCATCTTCCTTCTCCGTTGCCTTCCAACCCCAGACGCCCAGGCAGACACCCATGAACTACTACCACAGATAGAAGTAGTGTGGCACGCGTGGGTCTAACTGGGGCAGTGCTCTCATAGAATAAAGCTAATATTATTATTCAGACCCTGAGTATATCTTGTGATTTTATTAGCCATGTGCTTCTATACACATCACTACTATAATGTATGAGTCACCGTGTGCGGCTACAGCTTCACTCAGCATAAACCTGTAACGAGACTGAAGCTACTCGCTTATTAAATATATGCCTAAGCACTTTTAGCTTGGAGACGGTTGCTTAGATTACGCTTGCGGTGAACCCAGTCCACTTCGTTTCCGTTAGACCCATGTAGCGTGCCTTCATATGATAGAACGTGCTCACCGCTACACCCAGCTGACCACTATAGATCAAACTCAACATTGCAAAGATATGAAACTATCGATGTAGCGAAAACACTTGATCAGGCCAACACCAGTGCGTAGAACACACCCCCCGGGAGTATTTCCGCACATTCGCCTGACACCTGTTGCATTCCTTGCATACATAGTTGCACACTCATTTACGTTGCGTAGAATGTCAGTGAGAAGACGACATACAGACAAAAATAAGTTTTAGGCCCAGACATACGTCATTCTATATCACACCTGCAGCATCCCTTTACACAGATCCGAACGCTCTGGTGCACACGTGATGCACCCGAGCTCAGCGCCTGTAGATACCCGACATATGTACGTTTGGACGAAACTTTCAGCTCTCGGGAATGCAATTTCTGGATGTGGTAGGTTTTCGGCAAGGTATGACAACATACTGTATGCCGCTGCAATTTATATTCTGGGTTCTAGCGCTTACCTCCTATTGCCAAAGCGATTGCGTTGCCCTGGGTACGATGACCGTATTGCGTTTATTTTGGGAGAGGTATGTATCCTTATTATAAAGTTTTTTTCACAGTTTGGCTACGATAGTATGTATTTTATTGTGTTCTATTGTGATATGTAAAGGTTGCGGTGCCGGTCAAAGCCGTCGCTCGCGGTCCTTGGTGCGGTTCTCATTAGATATCGTTAAAGCCCGATTAAAACGTGTTCAATCTTACAACTTCGGTTGAAGATCAACGTGCAAGTTATTGAACTATTCGAATTATCTTAACTTCGCAATTGTAGGCATGGCTATCCTCGGTCGCGGCGATTGGGTCGTTTATTCGTGGTAGTGGTGTAATGCAGACTGCTATGGATGTCGTAGCACTCGGACATGTGTCGATGAAAGACGGCAGCACATCTTTCGATACTAGATATTGCGACAGATTTGATAAGCGTGTGCTTTGCAATATTGAGCCGGGCTTTGTTTGCCTGTTAGTATCGTCTCTCGTTGAAGTTATATGCCCTTTCTAGTAACCCACACTGCTTCAAGAGCCTACAGCCGACGCGGCAGTGGCTCATTCGGCGTACACCCACTTCGCAGATAACCTCTACTTCCCACGAGCGTCTCTGGAAGCTCCATATCCATTGAGTGGGAGCGTTGTTGTCGTGTTTATCACAAGTCACCGTATATATACTAGCACCATTCGTGACAGTATACCACGGAGAAAGTGTAGATATGTCGTGGTGTATATACTACATGTGCGCCAGTTTGTTAGTCTGCCTCGTCAACCCAGAGAGCGTTATAGTCTGGGGGAATCCAATACTCGCAGCAAGGACCGTAGTTGACTCACCACATTGTAGTGTCGTATGTGTAGATGCTGTTTCCTGGGCCTGTAAATCTGAGAATGTCTCGATTCGTGTAGGTTTTGCCCTTTCCGGATGTGGAATGTGCGTCGTTGCCCTCGCCGAACAAATCGTTTTCGTAGAAGGGGAAGTTTGGACTGATGGTGTTGTCTATCTCCCAGCAAACATCGTACACTGTGAACCCTAGATCAGTCTCTTGCTTGCTAGGTGGATGTGTGGGGAATCCGTACATTACATCGCTAGCATCCTGATCTGAGTCCGCGTTTAGCGCTGACATCTGCCACTGCATGAAGAGCCTGTTGGGCACAGCAGGATAGGTAGTAATGCATGAGTTTTCATTTTCCTGCATTCACATGATCCACTTCGCATACACGAAACAACGGTACTATACACTATTCTCAGCGAAATGGAGAAACACAAACAACAAACTTGAAGCATCACACACCGAGCAATCGTGGCGGAGCAGATTTAAATCGCTAAACTCCTTGTCATGCTCAGTTTGTCGGTGTTTACTATTTATCTCATTTATCGTTGCGATATATACTCAAGTTCAGAAAGTCAAAAACACACCTGTCTATATTCGTGTGATGAAAAAGGAAGAAAGGATCGTTGATGGAAGTAGCAGCGTCTCGGAAATCGCCATTGACCCCCAAGGTACTCCTTGAACCAATCTGAAATGAACAAGCCAAAAAATATTTCATTAGTATTTGAAGGGGTGGACACTATACAATGATGCACTGCTATATCGAAATTAGTATCTTCAGTATGTGTGTGCGCTTGCGTAGATCATTTATGATGTAGTTGTGCTCGTGTTAAATTGTGTACGTTTGCATCGTGAGCCAGGTACGATCTGGTTGTGTATATCATTATATTCATGGAATTTTGGTAGTAGAAAGTTCCCGCATACGTATACATGCCGTGAGCTCGTATAGTACACCTGCCATTGTACGAGGTTGCGATATCAGAGAACATATCTGGCTTGCGAATTCTTAAAAATATCACTCCACCTTTGTTTCCACTTACGTACATTGTGAAATGTGTATCTAACGCAGATGTTTCACATTGTGTGAATTTCCTATCAATATTCCTTATCAATATCCGTATACCAACTGCCCACTTTAGTGAGACATGCGCATAAACACACAAAGCTTGCAAGAAAAATACCCGATAGGGTTCAAGCCGACCACATAAAGGCATAAAGACCAGTACAAGAGGCTTGAACAACAATTATAATACGGACATCAAGACTGCCAAGTTTCATAACATACCTTGAGGTGGGCCTGTGAGTGTATGAAGCGAACGGTTTTCTTCTCCCCATCCTTGTAGTAAAAGCCAGCAGGTGGTCCATCAACTTCGTTCGAAACGTCTTCAGCATCCACACAATTCACAAAGTGCTCAATATCGGCCACATAATCGAAACTCGAGCAGATATCATTGTCTTCCTTTGTTCCCTCAATCGTCTCGTCCATCTCGTAATTTGTGTAACTCAGCGTGCCTTTGGGAAATCGGGTCAGATAAGGACTATCTAGCTCATTACTACCTCGCCTATTGTAGCCTGTTGTGCTGCTGCCACTGTATATATGCTGAAGTAGTCCATACTCTTTTTTGTCGAATTTAGTGACCGGCCAATAAGCGAATGCACCATCAGTGACTGCATAGTCCATCTCTTCGTTTCCCGTGTAGGACCCCAAGTAAGTATCTGAAAAGATATACTCATCGTCTCCTTCTCTGTACCTGCCACCATGACCCGCGTCCAAGGTTAGATCCCAGTACGGGAGAGCTTTGAATTCCGGGTTAATAGACAGAAGAATGTTTTCTGTTTCTAACATGAGCGCTCTGTGGTACGTAATAAAACACGGACCATAGTGTCCTTGGTCACCGCTGGGGTCTTCTGCTGCGACAGCATGTTTAGCCACCAGGTAGTCCCATGTGCGAAAGGCAGAACCGTACTTTTCTTGACCTGACGTACGCCGAAAATGAGAATAAATAATTAGGCATATCGATCAAGGACAGAAAGAAATAGTGCCTAGCCCAAACTGAGCTCTACCAGACCAAATAAAGTGTTATGAACATGAATATGGTACCTTCTTTGGTAGACAGGTTACGCATCTCCCACATTGCCTCGAATAGAGCCAACCTTTCGGATTCCGTGAGATCCCGTATCTCCCTGCGAACGCGTCTTCCAGGCTCACTCGCCTGTCGTGGCGAAGACAGTGCGCTTACCAGGCAGAAAGAGCATACTAGCACATTCATCAAGCTGAAAACCTTCATGCTAAATACTTTAAAAAATATGCTCGTCGAATTGTACAGATAATTCACAATGAGGTCAATAGAAAGTGTGCTGCGTGCTGATATACGACTTTTTCAAAACAAACTGTTCACGCGAACGCCGAACTGTTCTATTTAAATCTGTACGTATTTATTGTTGCCTCCGGTGCTGCGGTGCGATGATGCGGGGGCCGGGGCTGGTCGCACTTTATTCTAATTCCAATAAAATATTGTCCGGGAGTCTCGATTTTGTTTTGAAATTAAAAATTCGGCAGACACTGCGCGCAAGGCTAAGGACACTAATACATTTTGTTTTGAAATTAATAAATATTAAGCGACAGCTGTGGCAAACTCCATGTAACTATTTATTAGTAAATATTTGTCAGTGATTTTTTTTGTATTTTTAAACAAAAACATTCAAAAAGAAAACTATTTACTCATTCAGTGTCAGTGTGTCACGCTGCTGGGGATCTATTTTAGTATTTTTGTTTGTTTTTTAAAATTTAGGACTGTATGTACAATTTACATACTGTCTGAGTAACTGGAGCCCTGAGCCCTGAGCCCTGAGCCCTGAGCCCTGAGGGGCATATATTTTTTAGAAAACATCGCTTCACAAGACTTATCAGTGACATCACACTGCACATTTTTTTACAAATACAAGGGATGAATATTCTCTAAATACAATATTAACATTTTACTGGGATATATATATACTTTATTGTTTTTAAAAAATAAATTCTACATTTCGTTTTATTGGATCGGTTTTGTTTTGTTTTGTTTTTGTTTTTGCTTAAAAAAAATATGGTCAGTAAATACTTATGTAAACAAATACATAATATTAATATTATTTTCTCAATAAAAACACGCATGTCTGTAAATGTACAGTGGGTCCTAACAACTTAACAACTTATCCACTTTTTAGCTGTCCACTTTGATAGATCTCCTTTTCATTCGCATAGCGTGTTTTTTTTTATCCTAGTATTAATGGCTCATACAACATTAGTGTTCTCTACCAAAAACTACTTCAATTGGTCTGAAAATAATATTATACGCTTGATATCAATCAAACTCGTCTTATTTCTATCGTATACTGTATAGGCACGCAGCTATAGCTACAGACGTTTGGTTTCTTTATCACAAAAGCTAGTATTTAATGGCTTATAAATTCGTGTTATCTACAAAAGATTACTTCAATTGGTCTGAATACAATATTATACGCTTGATATCAATCAAACTCTTCTTAGTTCTATCGTATACTGTATAGGCACGCAGCTATAGCTACAGACGTTTGGTTTCTTTATCACAAAATCTAGTATTTAATGGCTTATAAATTCGTGTTCTCTACAAAAGATTACTTCAATTGGTTTGAAAACAATATTATACGCTTGATATCAATCAAACTCTTCTTATTTCTATCGTATACTGTATAGGCACGCAGCTATAGCTACAGACGTTTGGTTTCTTTATTACAAAATCTAGTATTTAATGGCTTATAAATTCGTGTTCTCTACAAAAGATTACTTCAATTGGTCTGAAAACAATACTATACGCTTGATATCAATCAAACTCTTCTTATTTCTATCGTATACTGTATAGGCACGCAGCTATAGCTACAGACGTTTGGTTTCTTTATCACAAAATCTAGTATTTAATGGCTTATAAATTCGTGTTCTCTACAAAAGATTACTTCAATTGGTCTGAAAACAATATTGAACACATAAAATAAATCAAACCCTCTCTTATTTCTATCATTTATCACAAAAACACGGTATTTCGGAATGTTTTAAACAAATTTACGCACACAGCTTATGATATACGCAAAGCTACATACTTAAAACCAAGACTAGCGCAACTAAACGCAAATATAAAAAGTGATACCTCGATAAGACCTCACAAATCCTCACTATGATACGTCCATTATGGTGTATTTCTGGCCTGGGGAGATTAATGGTTCATTTATAACATAACACATGATCCGATCAGCCGAAAACCTCTCGGTCAATCAGATTACCGCTAGAGGTGTTCACTCGATAGATGTCTCAATTCTTCCCTGTGACGGTCAGGGACAAGTCGCGACTCGCGAGGAGTCTAGGACCCACGGCCACAATGATCTGATCTGGTATGCGACAACGACACATCTCAAAGACATTGGTGTCGTTTATCAAAACGACATGTCGCATCGAAACTGGTTGTTTATGTAACGACATGTCGCATTCATAAACGACATGTTTCGCGTTCATAAACGACGTGTCGCAGATGAAAACGACATGTCGGTTGACAGTTATGGTGTGACGGTTAGTATTTCAAGTGTTTGGAGACAGTAGAGATGTCAATTTTGTGGTGTGACGGTTGGTACTTTTGTCCTTGAAGTAACTGGCAGAAGGGCACGTCTGTTTTATCATTGTATCTGATGTTAAAGTTGAAGTAACACTGACGTAGTGATACTATGATAGACCGTGATATACACTTAATAACTATAGAATAATCACACCACATAGCTACACACATATACAGTTTATCAAAATATACTAAAAAATACTAATGTCAGCAAGGCCAAGTAGCAACTGAAACTCGACATACTAGCCCGCCCAACAAATAAAGGCGGTCGAACACGCAAATATGATATGATTAGCTGTCTTTAATATACGGGAATATCATTGAAACGTTGTTAAATGTTAAGATTAGGAACATATATAAAAAGGAAAATAGGGTCTGTCGAAATGATCAAATACGACCGTTGAGACCAATGCGACAACGACACGTCGCATTAATATTAGTGTCGTTTTCTAAAACGACACGTTTCATTCATTGCGACACGTGTCGTTTACCAGATCAGACTATGATACATATACAGAATTTAAAATTTAAAATATGTTGTTCGTTTCTTTTTTTAAATCAATTCAGCTCTACTACTCTACTCTCTGCTCTAGAGAGCGAAAGAGATCATATTGTGTCTCAGAGACTCAAGAGACAGAGACATATTCAATGGTTCATAATCATAGCTCAGCTCAATAGTTAATACGTGAAGATATGTACGTTCCATTTCAGAAAGCTATGTAGGACTGGAGGGACATATATACGGTCAACGTAAATGCACGTCTGCGACCACTATGACTGCGGCTCTCGAGTCTCGGCTGTGATGTAAAACGTTTTTTGGTGTCAAATTGAAATATGATAATATCCAAATATTTAAACTGATCGGGATGAGACTTGAGACTTGAGACTGGAGACTGTTGAGAGTGGTCAATGACAGTGGTGACTGGTGGTGAGTGGTGAGTCTGTCGGTCTGGTGCAGCCGCTCTGCTAGAGTCGGTAGTTCTGTAGCTTCTGTTACTCTGACACTTCCCGAGGGCCGGTCCACCGGTGCCATTGGTGTCCATTGTACATTGTGCGCCCCCATCCCCCGAGGAGAGAATGCTCGATTGCTCTCTGCAGCGGCTGCACTCTGGCTGATTTTTTTTTTGATTTTTTGACTTTTTCAAAATTGGGACTATTTGTATTTATTGGTTTTTACCGCTTACGTCTATAAATCTGATCGAGCTAAACAAAATAGATTTATGTATGTAACAAAATTGAAGAGTTGACACTTGATATATACATCAATAAAATTAATAAATAATAAATAATAATGCACTCTAGTCTGACTCCCTGAGATAAAATATCTTAAATCTACAACATTCATATGCCACTACGTCACCAGGAAGCACTACATACTGCAGTCTTCAGAGTTCACTCGACTACAGTAGCACAGTCGTGAGTCGCGAGTCGTGAACTCGTGACTCGTTCGTGACTTGTGATTAAACCCAAAAGTCCTAAAATAGAAAACTATCAACTTCTTCGAATAAAAATGCTCTCGAATTTCTAGACAAGTTCTGTTTACTTTATTTTTATTTGTTTTTAAAATCAAAACAAAAACAAAATAGATATATATAAAACTAAATTTTGAGGCCATGTATGATGATGATGATGGCCAATTGGCCATGTGCTTTTTTGATCTCAGTGCTTTTTTGATCTCAATCAGACAATCACACACAGGCTCTCAGCGGTCGCTAAAATAAAACACGGCTGGGACGCCGGGAGGATTGAAGGCGTATATTCATAGCGGTAATTTATCTGTTCATATTGACATTCACGCTTTTTTTTCTTTTTTCTTTTTTTAAATGCATCTATTTTTTTTCTATTTTCTTTATAAAACAAATGCAAAACAATATATATTTTTCTAAAAATAAATAGCACCAGTGCTTCGAATTTCCTCTCGGTTGTATGGGTTTTTTTTAAATAAACTTTTTATGTAATTATATACAGTATTTCCTTCTTCTTTTTTATGCCTCTTGTATGTACTATGCAAATTTTGTTTTTGTTTTTAAAAAACAACAAAAAGGTAGAAGAACTGTAGAGGTCACGGACTCACGTGGGCTCCACGCTTGACGCTTGACGGTCAATCACGTCTCACTAAGTCCTCGGCAGGGCAGTCCAGCACACACGCACACACACATACACATGCACACCCTGAGGGCCAGGCCCAAGGTCAAGCTCAAGGGGGATCATATGACCCAGGGTTCAATACTGCTTGTGCGGGTGCAGGTACTTATGCACATCCAACAGCGAAGTGAAACGACATAATAGAGCTTGCGCGAAGGAGCAGGCAGTCTGGTAGATGATCGCGGGTGTGGGTGGAGGGCAGTGTGCAAGCGTGTATGGGTGTGATAGTTTGCGTGTAGTTATCTGATTGGTCTTCTTGGTAGGAGCGTGTAGAGTCTTGGTATGGACGTGTGGCTATCTGAAAACAGTCTCAGTACAAGAGTGTAGTGTGGGTACGCATATATCATAAAGCCATAGGTAAGAGATATTGTCGATGTATTGTTTCGTGTTGATTTGTTTGTGTCTGTGAAAGTGTCGATGTCGATTTCTTCAAAGTGTGTTGGTTTCGTCAGTGCGGTGGGAGTTACCTATGAAAAGTTCTAGGGCTCTGTGGATGTGCTCGTGTTTGTGATTGGGAATCCTGACCAGCGCTTATACAACCATATTGTTTGTGT